AGCAGCCAGAGGCCCAGGGCTCGTGGAGAGAGAGGGGGGCTGGCTCCCAGGGAGAACAGCTGGGGCAGCCAGGGGTCAGACAGTCAGGCTCCCAGACTGCCCTAGCCTTTCACGGGATCCTGCTCAGCCTGCTGGAGAGGCGTGACCCTGCTCAGCCTGCTGGAGAGGCGTGTACCCCACAATTAGCGTCCTGGACTTCCCGGGGAAGCCAAGGAGAAGGGGTAAGGGAGTAGTGGGTATATGTGTGTATCTGAGAGGAGGAATTATCTGCTCCATTCTGTTCTCCCTCATGGGGCACAGGTGCACACACACACGCACACACACACACTTTCTTCCCTGCTTTACCTCCTTTTAGGTAAGAGATTTTTTTAAGGCCTCTTATACTTCCTTCTCTCAGCAGTGCCATGAGTTCTTTCTCCCATCATGGCTGTCCTGAAGCTGGGACACTAACTGGGAGTCCCCTACATGCAGCCCGGGTTGCTAGGACACGACACGGGAAGATGCCTCCCACCTACCCCATGCCTCGGCAGTCAGGGAGACAAAAGATGACGTGGCCCTCAGAGCAAGAAGCCACCATGACCTAGAGCCTTTCCCTCCTCCATGGTGACCCAGCCCAGTCAGCAGCATCTCCAGCACCCAGTCTGCATCCTCCTGCCCATCCTGGGCGCTGTTTTCCTGGCCAAGCCTCTCTCAACAGGCTCAAAAGGTGTACCCCAGAGATTAAGGGAGCTGGGAAGTTGCAGGGCAGTCCAGGGCAGAAGGGAGATTTGTATGCTGCCAAAGTTCCTTCAGGACATAGGTGTGACCACAGAGAAGAAAAATGGAAATGCTGATAGAGGACACTGGCCCTGACCACGCTTGGCTTCCATTCTGTTGTTGGAAGGCTTGTCTCACTCTGGAGTCTGAAAGGATGGTGAAGGGCTGTGGCCGGCAGGCTGGTCTGGCCTTGGCCAAAACCCCATCAGACAATGGGTTTAGGATGGAAGAGAGCCCCTGGGAGTCCTGACTCACCAAGACTTGGGCCTCATGTCATGATTGCTCAGCTCTGGAAGCTTCTGTGCCCCGTGGTCCTGCATCTCCACCCACAGGCAAAGGAACCGGCTTGGTTACCCTGTCGTCTGCTCTACCCAGGCTCTCCCTGGAGGAGTGGGCTCTGCCCAACTTCACTCAAGGCGTTGCTGCCCACCCACGGCGTCAGGCCGAGGCCAGTGGACTGCCAAGGCTGTCTCTGTGGCTCTGGAGGCAGAACTACAGTTTGACTTGTTTGTCCCTAAGGGCTGAACTGAGATCATCATACCCATTTTACAGATGGAGAAATGGAGGCAGGGAACTGTTCCTTAACTTGCTGGGATTCTCCCAGAAACCTGAGGTATAATCCCAGCTGTGCTGCTTCCTGCGAAAGGCTCTAACCCTCTCCGGAAGCAGTTTGTATGTGTGTCCCTGACCACAGGGATAAGAGGTCTGGCAGGGCAGGGGTGAGGGGAGGTGGACTTGAGCCAGTACGGGACCACACCAGCTGCCTCCTCAGCCTCCAGGTATGGGCCCTGCCACTCAACGCCAACTCTGGGGTCATCCCCAAGGCCAAGAGGTCCCTCTCCAGGCCAGACAGTGTACCTCCCCCTACCAGGTTCAGGGCCATAGGAAGCCGAGAGAGGAGGGAGCCCCCTGCGTGGGAGGGGAGTGCTGAAGGGGCGGGGGAGGGAGGACAGAACGCTGACAGAGCTGGCTGGCACCAGTCTCAAGAAAGTGGATTTCCTGGGAGCCTGCCAGGCCTCAGAAAGGGATGGGCTCCCCTCAGAAGCCTCTGCCTCAGTGTTCTTTCTATTACTGGCCACTTGTCCTCGGAGGCCTCGGTTCCTGAGAGGACCACCCACCAGGCTGAGGCGTGCTGCAGCCAGGAGGGGGTGGGTGGAAGGAGCTAGTTGCAGCTGGCTGGAACAGTGCTCTCAGACCCCAGCGGGCAGCCGAGGGTGACCCCCACTGGCCACTGACAGGGGCTCCAGGCTCCGGCAGCTGCCGAGGCCAGGGGCGTAGGTCTGGACGGCAGTGACAGCTGTCTTAGTGCTCCGCCTGGGACCCAGAGACCCCGTGCAGCAGTGGGACTGCTTGTCAGCCTCCCTGCGTCCACCCTCCACACAACACCCCCTCCCCAGCTCTTGGGGTTGGGACGGTCTCGGCCTTCACTGACACACCCCAACAGGGCTGGCCTCGGAACACAGCATCCCTGGTCACTGATGTTCATGGAAGGGCTCCTCAGGGACCAGCCCTCCGCCTCACACAGCCGCGGCCACACCGACTGTTCATCACCTGTTCCCGTGCTCGTGCTCGGGGAAGAGAAGCCCCACTGCTCCTCCCC